CCACTGCTGTCCAACAGAACATTCTGTGATGAATGTTCTATATGTGTGCTGTCCAATACAGTAGCCATCAGTCACGCATAGTTATTTAGCACTTAAAATGTGGCTAGTGTGATTAAGGAAGCAAATTTTAAATTTTATTTAATTTGATTGCTTTGAATTTTAATTTAAGTAGCCTGTGTGTCTAGTGACTACCATATTGGACAGTACAGCTCTAGACACCCCAAACAGGCCTTGAGAGCCTGGAATTCTACCTCAGGATCTTCTCTCTGGCCACTTTCCTCAACTTCCACATTATTGCTCCTGGGACATGTGTCCACATGCAAGGTTTTTAACCAGGGATATGTAGCTTTCCTTAGGCGGAGTAGGGGAAACATGCTATTAGTCTCATGCTCCAGATTCTTCCATAGCTATCAGCTGTTTCCTGCCCAGCACAATGCACCCTGCCCCAAGATTTGACCTCAGAATAGGATGCAACGAGGAAACTCCACAATATTCTTCTTCGTCCACAATCCCTTGGTTCTGGGAGGGCAGGCGTTCCCTCCTCTCTCATGTGGTCAGAACTTCTCTTATAAAACGCTCTATCCTCCTCCTCAGAGATAACATCGGTTCTTTTTCCTTCAGAGGACTATCTGATGGATGAGGAGCAGAGATAGGGAGATCAGTCACACAGGCATTCCAGAATACTGCACTTGACAGGATTACTCCAGGAACTCTATTTATGTGAGGTTAGAAGCCTGATTGCTCAGATTAGCAAATATTTGTTGAGCCCCTGGTGTGTTTCGAGCACTCAATCCATTGCTAGGAAGGTCTCAATCTGCTCCTCCCCAGGTTCTGTTTTTCTCCCCCTTCCTCAAGCCAATAAATAGTTTCACAATCATCCCTTTTGATCTGATTTTAGCAGCTGTGGGGGAAATACTTGCAATATAAGCATAGCCTTTTCTTGAATAATTTACATATTTTTCTGAAAGCCATTTCTGCAGAGCCAGTCCTGATCTCTTCATGTAGACCCACGTCCCTCACTCATCCTCTTTCCCTGCCTGATTTTCCCCCAGAGCACTTACCACCCGACAAACTCTATGATTACCTGATGAGCTAACTTCCTGTCTCCCCTTTTAGAATACAGGCCATGAGAGAGCAGGAACCCTCTGCTTGATTCACTGCAGTATTCTTACTACACAGAGCAGTGACTGACAGAAGGTAGGTACTCAAATACTCTTGAATGAATGAAAGAATCAGGATTATATCTCATAGTATAACTTTGATGTTTAAAAGCAAACAAAACTCTGTTCCCATGAAGGGTGAAGACAGAGAAGGACAAAGGTGACAAAGGATGTAGAGAATTCTTCTTTACTGCTTTGTGGGGATGGAGAGGGGCAAAGGCTGTAAAGAAACAGGGAATCCTGCCTGCATCATTGATTGAAAAAACCAAACTGTGAGAAGTTGAACAATGACCTATTGCTGGCAGAGAAGGTATGAAAACCCACATGCCCTGACTCCCAGATTCCAAGTTTTCACAATGCTCATTTTTTACTGATTACAAATATTGTGACCCAGAATATTTTCTGAAACTCATTTATTTACCGAAAATTTCATCAGTTATCAGCTTCTGGAGATCTCTTTTATTTTTAAATAAAATAATTAGGCATAAGTTTCTGTTTGGAACAAGCTGAAATGCTTTCAAATGATTTTTCACCTTAGCATTCTTAAGTTGCAATGCATCTTAAATTAGGCTTCTTAGAAAATGAAAGGGGGCTAGCGAATAAAATTTCTGAAGATTTATTTCAAATGAAATCGTATGTACAACAGGATACCACAAAGCACGAATTATCCTACATTAGTACGGCATTGCTCCTATCGTCATAATCAGCAATCCTGCAAAACCTTTGAAATCAACTTTTCTTTCTCACTTTGCCAAGAATGTGAAATTATTGGAGAATTGGAAATGGCCTAATGTTTAGTTACTTAATGAAAATAGCATAGATTTCCCATTCTGGTGAAGTGATAGAAATCTCTACAAACTCATCAGATGGAAAGTAATGGCTTTGAAAATGCAAGAGAGGGGAGAACACAGGAATCAATTAAATTGTTTTTGTCGTAGTAGTTACAGATTGTGAAACGCTGTTTTTGTTTTAAGAGATTTTGAATGGGATTTTGCATTAGGGAATACTTAGTACCAGAGCAGTTAACCGAAGGAGAAACAAGCCTTGGTAAGTTCCTGGTTATTGTCCTGCCTCCAGGGATTACCTGAACATGTTTCTTCCATTGATCTCCTGATGTTATATAAATTAACAAAGTCTATACAATACACATAGCTCAGATTCAAAGCAAATGTTTGAGAGAAATCACACTAAAGGTAAGTTTATTTATTGGCTTCCCCCACACCCTGTGTTTTGTTCAACTGTGAAAGAGATGGGGAATAGGGCCAGAAGTAGCCAATTGTCTTCACACAGTGGCAGAGAAGGGACTAGAAACAAGATTTTCTGTCTCCAAATCCAAGGTGTTTCCTCGGCTTCTGCAGGGTTCTCTTAACCAGTGATTCTCAACCCCAAAGAAAATTTGAAATCTCGGATTCCATGGCCTTATCCTTAAATGAGGTGGACAGATGGTCAAGGATCACAAACTCAAATGCTTTCAGGGGCCTGGCATGTATTTGTGTGAAGCTTGCCTGCTGGGGGTAAGATAACTGGGATTTATTCAGGACCATGGTAATTAGAACATGCATGGCCTTCCTTAACACATTCACATGCAAAATTTTAAAACTCTTTGCTGTTCACAGGGCCTGGGTTTAGTCTGCAGGCCTTGGGCCAGCTGCCACTGGAACAAATAATTGCTAAGGTACAACCAGACACATTCTATGAACTCATATCTTTTGGGAAACTGTTTTTTTTTTTTTTGGATATAGGTCTCACTCTGTCACCCAGGCTGGAGTGCAGTGGCATGATCATAGCTCACTCCAACTCCTGGGCTCAAGTAATCCTCCTGCCTCAGCCTCCCTAGTAGCTGTGACTACAGGCATGTGCCACTGCACCCAGCTAATTTTTGAATTTTTTTTTTTTACTGAAAGGGTCTCATTACATTGCCCAGGTAGGTTGTGAGACTGCTCTTGATGTCTATCTGTGCAAGTTATTGATTTAATGTTTCCTAGCACCAAAATTATCCTTTTTGCTTGCTCTGTGAAAATGGAGATGGGCCCTTGAGATTATTTTCTTTTGTCAGCTGACACAGGTTAAACTATGCCAGTAGAGGGTGCTGGAGAGAAATTGCGAGAGAAGGAGTTTGCTTCTGGATTCCAATGAACTCCTTAGGCAGGCTCCTGCAGCATGGGCAGCTTCTCCAGGATCCAGCTCCTGAAGCGCAGGTGACACCTCAAGCATTTTGCTCCTGTAGGGCACACAGGTTCTCTAGTGTCCAGCTTTTGTAGAGTGTGAAGCACCTTTAGCACCCAGCTCCTATAGCATGGGTGACTTCTTAAGCATGCAGCTCTCACAGTACATACAGCTTCTCTAGTGCCTGGCTCCCACGGTGTACTGTGGCCAGCAGCTGTCCTTGTATTTTGTAGCAGAATCTCTCTAGTAAAACACCTCCCTATAAACAGCTCTCCCTGACACCCCAGAGGGAGGATCTTCAGCAGGTTCTATTGGCATGGCACCACAGTGACCTACCTCTCTGCCATTGCATTAGCCACAACCATGCCTCCAACAATGTCTTAATCTATTCAGGCTACTATAACAAAGTACCATAGATTGGGTGGCTTATAAACAACAGAAATTTATTTCTCATAGTTCTGGAGGCTAAAAGTCTGAGGTCAGGGTATCAGCATGGCCGGGTTCAGGTGAGCGCTCTCTTCTAGTTGCACACTGCTGACTTCTTGTTGTATCTTTGCATGGAGAACTCTCTAGGGTCCCTTTTATTAATATAAGGGCATTAATCCCAATAATGAGGGCTCCATCCTCATAACCTAATCACCTACCAAAGGCCCCACCAAACAAGGTCTGAATCTCAACTTTCAGTGCAGGGAGTTTTTTCTTGGATGCTCTATCTCAGCCCTAGGAGTAGTGGCTGATGCTTGTATCTATTATTTTTGTATTATTTAGCACTCTCCTCACTTCTTACTAGCCAATCTCATTACTCTAATCTTTTCTCATAGTTAACAACTCTTTGTATTAAACTTTACCTTGTTCAAATTGTTGTGTGGATTCTGTTCATGAATGGACCCAAGCTAAACTACCTTGGAGCGCTCAACAGCTTTTCCATTTACGTTGGTGTCATTCAGACAGGACATCTCTACCCATTCCAGACAAGCTATCTTTACATGTCCCTACCCAGAAATTGGACGTGCCTTAATGTATATTTTCAAGCCTCTTGACTTGAGCAAAGTGTTAATTATCCAACCTCATTTAACAGATAACTGAGAATATGAAAAGTTAGCTGGGTTCCTTACGATCTCACAACCAGTTAATTATGGAGCTGGGACCATACCCCAGCATCCTGACTCCCAATCTGATGTTCTTTCCTCTCTGCTACACTGGCATTAGTCACCAAAAAAATGTTAATTAAGCAACTGTTTGTATATGGTCCTATAGATAATCAAATTATAAAAGGAAAATGAACTTAGATATACTTCTCAGGTAGGGAGAGCAGGGGTTAAGGAAAGAGCGTGGAATTTAGGATCAGAGAGATATGAATTATTCACCTCCTGGGGGACCTGGGGTAAATGGACTGCGTTGTTGTAAAGTGGAAATATCTGTCATCTAGTGTAGGAAACAAGATCACAGACACAAAGCACCTATGATCACTGGACAAATTTAGGGGAACCAGACAAATAAAATGGTGATTGAATCATGCTGAACCTACTACCTTTCGCTCAATTATTTTCCCCACTCACATATTTCTCCCACATATATTTTAAGAAAAAGTTTTAAAAAAGCCTTTTCTGGTATTTTCTCCCTGACCTGCCACTGTGTCTGCTCTCCAACAAAGAATACGTTTCTAGCAGCGTAATGCTGAATGAGTTAAGGTGAGTCAGAGTCGAGACAGAAGTGAGCCCCATGTTGCCTCATTCAGCGATGTTCTACTTAATCAGTGTGAATAAATGGAAAGTGAGCTACATTCAGAGAGGTGCATCACGGGAATCACTTTCCTGTCTGCCGGGCGCTGTTTGCACAGAGACATCCAGGCCATTTGGTGTAATCGCCTTCTGTGTTTGAAGTCTGTCTGGGGCAGAGCCTTGCTCAGGTCCATAAAGCCACGTAAACATCCTGGGTCTCAGCCCCTCGGCTCTCCTGCAATCTCCCCTTCAGAGCCCTCTTATTTGATTAAGAGATTTGGGTTCCATGAACCACAGACTATTTCACCTTTCTTTATTTGCATGTTCCATAATTTTTTAAAAAAGATAACAAATGGTATTAAGATAATAATTGCCATCCTTTATTAAGTGCTTATAAACCAGGTATTTAATATATATTTTCTCATTTTATCTTCCCAACACTCCTGCATGGTAATTACTATTATTTCCACTTTACAAGAAAATGAAAAAAACCCAACACTGAACTTTGGAAAGATTATGCGCTCACTTGCCCAATGATACATGAGTCCATTTGGTTTTAAAAGAATTATCTTTTCAGTACACCACATTGCTGCTTTAGGTGCAATTTGTTAGTCTACCATTTTGAAACAAAACAGCATCTATATTCTGTGACAGAATTGTGCTTACTGTTTGCTACTGCTTCCAGAGCCAGGAGAATGGCTTTTCTCTGAATACAATTACTTTCCATTTATCCACACGCTGATTACACTGGAGAACAATGCATCATTTGGTATACTGTTGGCCTATTTTTATAAATCTTGATGCTCTACTCCCTTCAAGCTTATTAAGGCCATCGTTATCTTTCCTAGCTAGCTCAGCTCAAATGAAAACTGGCCAGACTTTGGAAATATTTTTTTTTCTATCTTGAAACAGAATTAAGACTTTTACCAAAAAGCCAGCCTCTGCACTTTGTCCACCAGACTGTGCCCTCATTAGTGTGGGAATGAAGAAGGGATTAAGGCAGAGCAGGAGAGGATTAGAATTAGTGTGGAACATCTCCGTTCTCTGTTCTCCTGACCTTTCCCTCACCCCAGCAGCCTCTGGAGAGAGGAGAGGAAAAAGGTATCCAGAAGGCCATATGTTGTAGCAATTTAAAAGTATTCATTTAAAGGCATTTATTTTAAAATAAAATTTAATGTTAAAAAATGTAGTGTGTCATGCCTGTGTACTGTTCTAAATGTTGATGTGCAGTATTGTTACACCTTAAATGAGTTATAGACATAAGAATCAAGTGTTGCCAGAAAAATGAAGGGATGGATACATTCCCATAAATCGAATTACAGAATATAGCAGAATGTATGTAATGCTGATTTTGGAAAAACATGATCATAGGTCCAAACACGACTTACTTATTGCTTAACAAAGATAGAAGACATTTTTAATGCATAGCAAAATCAAGTCTATTTTAAAGAAAAGCTTGTGCCCTGGACCATATTCTTTGTACTGAACCATATTATTCTTTTGCCTGAGGACTGGGTCAGTTCAAAAATTCCCTTCCTAAGGCTGGACGCTGTGGCTCACGCCTGTAATCCTAGCACTCTGGGAGGCCGAGG